GAAGGCAAATTATCTCGTTCACACGTTTCAGTCATGTTTCACTACAAGAATTTTGATCTTTAGGGGCGATGGGTGTCGCCGCTAAATGTCCAACATGTCGCCGCTATTGGTTCGTCACTAATGCTCCATTGATCGCCGCTATTGCTTTTCGCCGCCGCTAATGCTCTACGTCACCACTAAAGGTGTCGCCGCTATTTATATGTATTTCTATTCATACAAATACACATATACATACATAATACACATACAAAATGCACATATACATATGAAAATACATACACATACATAAGACACATACATATACATAAAAATACATATATACATAGAATTGCACATACAAAAACACATATATATATATACTTAAAATTCATTCAAAATACACATATACATACAAATGCACATACAAATACACATCCATATGTACAAACACACAATACACATCTACAAAATCAATATTTCAACGAGAATAGTGGTGGTGGCGGTATATTCCGGCGAGAAGGGTGAGGGATCTCAAAATTCCGGCAACCATCTCAAATGTTAGAAATTTAGTAGGGAGAAGAGAAAAGGAAAAGAAAATGAGAAAATGGAACAGAGAGGGATGAAATTACGAAGTTTTCTGTGAAATTCCGATGAGGTTGAATAGAGAGAAGAAGGGAAAACACAGAAGATTAGGAAAGAAAGTGAGGACGAAGAGGGTTTTATTGTCGACGGCCTTTAGCGGCGATGCGTACTCATTGGCGGCGACACATGGGAGGGAAAACAACGCAGGGTTTTCAACGTCGTTGGATCACCGCTTAAATTGATGAGTGTGATTGAAATGACGCGGATCACCGAAACAAGCCTTTAGCTGCGATGCACACTCTTTAGCGGTGACATGTCAGAGGGAAAACAACATCGGATTTCTTATGTCATCCTAGTCGTAGGATCATCTCTTAAATCGACGGATAAGATTGAAATGTTGCGGATCGCCAACAAAAGTCATTAGCGGCGACGGATACTTTTAGCGGCGACAAAAAACGCATTTGTTTTTGTCGCCGCTAAGAGTTCACATGGCCGCTAAATGTGTTGTCGTTGTCGCTGGTTATTCTTGTTGTGTTTATATCATCTTCTAGTGTACATCATGAACAAATATCTTTTTTTTTGGAACGACAAAATTCTATAAAAAAAATAAAAACTAGCAAGGAGCTAGAAAGAGATTACATCAAAGAAGTAGCTAGAGAGGGGTTATGAAGCCACTCAGTCCAATTTAACTTTACCCTACTACATCTATTGGAAATCCAAAAGAAGGATTTATCAACAACATCATAAAAAATAACCGACTTTTTGGGTAAAACCGTTCCAAAGACAGACATATTACGAAAGTTCCATAAGCACAAGAAGGAAGTAATAATGACTGCATCAAACGCCTTTCTTTGACCTCTACGCAAATTTACATCATCCGACCAATTTGATTAGGGAATGCACCGAAATATGACAAGGTAGAGATACCCCCCACCATATAGCAACCCTACCCCAAATATCCCGTAAGTCACGACACCCAACAAAAAGGTGGTCTATAGTCTCGGCTCTAACCATGCAAATTGGGCACATGATACATGGGACCATAACACATCTACTCGATAATCTCTCCCTGTAGGAATACTAGAAAGCTGAATTCTCCAAAGTAGAATATTAAGCTTAATAGGAACCCAATTATTCCACTGAGTACCCCTGTCCCCCGAAGGCACCAAACCACTATCCAACGCATACCTTACAGAAGAAACAGAAGAAGAATAAAAAATATCAAGAGACCAACCCAATCTATCCGGGACCTGTTGGAGCTGAACCCCCTGCACCACTTCCAAGAAGGAAATCCATTGAGTTTCTTCAACCCTACCTCTAGGCATACGTCTAAGATTATCCGTATTCCACCCAATTAAAAACTGATCCATGACATTAGCTGAGCGGTTCATATCCAAAGCAAAACACGATGAAAAGAAATCGAAAGAGGATTATTGCCTTGCCACTTATCATGCCAAAAGGAAGTGTACGCCCCATCACCAATTCTAATAGGAACAAGATTATGGAAATCAAAACCCCTATCCTTAAGATTATTTACAATCCTCATAATACCATTCCAAGGACTCTTTGGAATCAAAGAACCATTATTATCCCCCAAACCATAGATGTTGTTGACCACCCTTACCCATAATAAATTAGGTTTATGAAAAAACCTCCACTTCCAACGTAATAATAAAGTCCTTTTAAAGGCAAAAAAAAACTACCAATTCCCAAACCTCCAACCTCTTTCGAGGCTAGGATTTTATCCCACCGAACCCAATGCATACGGCGATCATCCAAATCAGCACCCCAAAAAAACACTGATCTCAATCTCTCTAAATCCTTTATCACTGTAAGAGGCACCAGATAAATAAACATCAAATAACTAACAATCGACCCCAAAACTGCTTTAACTAGAGTCATCCGCCCCCCAAAAGAAAGAAATTTAGCTTTCCAACCCACCAATCTTTTCCAGAAAGAATCAACAATAGGACCCCAGGAATAAGTTCTAGCCATATTCTGTCCAACCAGAACCCCCGGGTGAGAAAACGGAAAACCGCCCGTCGAACACCCCATACAATTAGCCGTAGACGAAACTTGATTAACCATGACCCCCACTCCATACAACTTGCTTTTAAGAAGATTGATTTTCAAACCCGAGGCTAGAAAGAAGCATCTAAGAATACAAACAATATGGAGAGCATTTTCCTGATTCCCATCAGCCAAGAGAACAACATCATCGATATAAAGAAGATGGGAAATGATGATTCCTCCAATCTTGATTCCCCTATAGACATTAGCTAACTGGGCCCTAGCAAGGTCCACATGCAAACCCTCAATAGCCAACACGAAAAGAAAAGGAGATAGGGGACCCCCCTGTCTCAAACCTCTGAATATATGAAATTCCCGGGATGGAGAACCATTCACCAGGATCGTGACAGTAGGAGAAGACATCATCTCCAAAATCCAATTACATCATAAAGAACTAAACCCCATAATTTGCATGATTTCAATAAAGTATTCCCATGATAAAGAATCATAAGCCTTTTCAAAATCCACTTTAAACATCAAAAGAGGATTCTTAGAGGCTTTACTCCAAGCTACAATTTCATTGAGAAGAAACGAACCATCCAGAATCCGTATGCCTTTTATAAACGTCGATTGCTCCACACTAACCAAACTATCAATAAGAAACCTATTAGCAAGAATTTTATCAATAATCTTGTACTGACACCCAATCAAGCTAATAGGTCTATAATCTTTTACAACCTTCGGATCTCTAATTTTAGGAATCATAGTGAAAAAGGAAGCATTACAACCCTTAGGAATCGACGAATGCGTATGAAAATGAGAGACCGTTTAAAAAATGTCATCCTGAACAATATCCCAATACCGTTTTATAAAACCAAAAGTGAAATCATTAAGGCCTGGAGCTTTTGAAGACCCGAGTGAACGGAGCATGAAGCAACTGAATCTGATCAAACGATAAATGTGAAAAATGGGAATCCTGAATTCGGGGTCGAGTACCGGCCTGTTTAGAGAAGAGAATCTAAAAATGGCCACGAAATTCCTCCTTAACCGTATTTGGGTCATCAATCCAGCATCCGTTCTTCAAAACACCTCTAATAGCCATTTGTCTTCTCTTATTATTTATGACCCTATGAAAAAAACCCGAGTTTTCATCACCTTTAATTCCCCACTTGACTTTTGCTTTTTGGGCTAACTCCAAATTCGTAAAATGATCTAAATTCGTAACAAATATCTTATAACTACTATAAAAACAATGGTGGAGAAAGGATAAAGGAGGTTCGATGTATCTTAAAACCAATATTGATGCGTCAATTGTTATTGGAGAAGAAGGGAAGAAACAGATTACTGAAAGTGTTTTTTTTTTTTTTTTTTTTTTTTTTTTAATAATTAAGTTTAACAAAAGAAATTAAAAAAAGTACAAATTACTTATTTTAAGTGCCCAGATGTAAGTTTTAAAAACCATAAAGATCATTTATATAAGTTTAAAAACAAAAACGACCATTAAAACCATGACCTTTAGTAAACCAACAAAACCATTTATATCTAGTTTTGTCAACTTTTAATTATTATAATCATGGATGCTGTTGATTTTTTTTTTAAATCGTTACTGTTATACTTTTCTTAGAAAAAGAAAGCCAAATATGCCAAAGCTTATTATATTCTATGCTCAAAAAATAATATACATATTGAGAATCATATAAGAAAATTTCTGAATAAATTTGTTGAACTTTTTTCTTTTTAGCATTATTTAATTCAAGCGAGAAAATTAAATATACTATGTTTTAATTTTATCTTTTCTATTCTTTAAAAAATAGCATTTATGTATATTTAAAATATATATATATATATATATATATATATATATATATATATATATATATATATATATATATATATATATATATATATATATATATCGTTTCCTACGACTAAATTTGCGTTCTTTACTTGAACATTTCTCTATATATTTGTTATAATACCAAACTACAAAATTTTGAAAAAAATGTTGCAATTCTAATTTAATGAGTTGATAAATACTAAATTATCTGACTATTCCTTAAAATTATAAGCTTAAGAAAATAGAAGTGGTATCCGATGCCTTCTTTTCTATTGGCAGATATGAGAATAGATGGGCATAGACCTTTTTTTAGAATATATTTATATTCTCTTCTAGAAAAATGCATCTTTAATTATTCATTTTTTCAGAAAATAGAAAAGAATATATGCCTTATGTAAAAGTAATGGAGATCATTAAACGACCACTGTGGTCGTGTTCATATGCATTCAAGGAGAGAAAGTGAAAACTCTAACTGAAATAAACTCAAAATAATAAAAGCATCTTATATTAGTAATTTTTTGGAACGGCATTTTATATTATTAATAATATACAAACTAAGTAAACTAAAGAATTATATATTTTTTTTCTATAAGTTTCATGGAAAGAAGTAATAAAGGTTTGGATGAGGCTCTTACCCTTTTTTTCTATATACTTACAAAATCACATTAAACCAAAAGTTTTGGATGAGGCTCTTACCCGGTCCATAGGACCACATACATGTTCGGATGAGTCCAATGAATGTCTAATGGTTAAGGTGCTTCAAACAAAAGGTCTAGGTAATGGCAATAATGAGTGTAGGTGTGTCGTTGCACTTGAAAGAAGCTAGCTAGGGGGTATTGGGAGGTGCCTTGTGTCTTTCACTTCAATTTGTATAAGTAAAATATTAAGGGAATCCATTATGTTTAATAAATTATATAAACTGAAGCTATTCTAAAAACATATTAAAGTATATGTGTTTGATCAAATATACTAAAATCAGAAAATATATAGCGCATACAAATTAACAGTTGAATGAAATTGTAAGTGGGTCCTTTGACATTAAAAGCAAAAGAAACCCTAGCTCTTGAGAAGTTCGAAAAAAAGATGTTCAAATATCACAAACTCTGTTCAATATTCCTCATCATCTTCATCTTCCTCTCTTACTTGATCAAATCCCACATCTTCATCTACTATGGATGTTCTCAAGAAAAATTCCAACCAAACACCCCTTCTGAAACCAATCTCAACTCTTTACTTTCATTATTTGTTTCCTCATCCTCCCAAGCCTTATACAGCAGTTATGCCATTGGAAACGACACAAACGCATCTTCAGAATCTTCTGTTTACGGTTTGTACCAATGTCGAGGCGATTTAAGGACACAAGATTGCGCAAAATGCATTAAAGAAGCGGTTTCTGAAGTAGGGTTAGCGTGTCCTTACTCATATAGTGGTAGTTTGCAGTTGAATGAGTGTTTAGTGAGGTTCGAGCATTATGATTTCTTTGGTGAGTTGGATACGAACCTAAGGTTCAAGAAGTGTAGCAAAAGTGTGAGTCATGATGTGGAGTTTATTAAGCGACGTGATGATGTATTGAGTGAGTTGGGTGAGGCTAATCAAGGGTTTAGGGTTGGTAGTGAGGGTTTAGTTCAAGGGTTTTCACAATGTTTAGGCGACCTGAATCCAAACGATTGTAGTTCTTGTCTTGGTGAGGCTATCTCGAAGCTGAAAAGCTTGTGTCGATCATCTGAAGCTGGGGATGTGTTCTTGGCTCAGTGTTACGTGCGATATTGGGCATCTGGTTACTACAATTCTCCTCCGGGTAAACGATCAATGATAATGTTATTTGTGTTAATATTTTTATATATGTGATTTTCATTTTGATTCAAACTACAGAATCATCTGGTGGTGATGATATTGGGAAAACAATAGCCATAATTATTGGAGTTGTAGCAGGTGTTGTAGCATTTATTGTGCTTCTTTCTTTTTGCAGAAAATCATGAGGTAATTTTTTGAAGATGATTCCTACGATAACAATTTGTCTAGACTTTTTAGTATAACTGGATATTATTTATAGTCAATTACTGTTTTCTTTAACCTTTTATATCAATATTCAATACCATGTGAGATATAGATTTTTTTTTTCCAATTATCATTCCATATATATCGAATGGTTTTTAGATTTTGTATATCTTATCTCCTTCTAGTTCAATCAATGTTTATTTATCTTTTTAATTATACTTCAGTTTTGAAACTTTGTTATTTCCTACTAATTAGTTAATTCTATAAAATATCTAATAATATTTCATTTATGATATAAAAACTATAACGATTATACAATATTTTCAAAGGTTTTTATTTGTATAAATATAACGCAATAATTGTTTCATATTTTGTATATATCAAATAAGGAATCGATATTGCTTTGTTTATGTTTTTGTTTTTTGTTGCATTTAACGTCTATGAAATGGTAATCGTTATGATATGTTATTTAAAAAACGACAAACTAATTAAGTAGGATTATATAAATTTTAGATAGATGATGATAGATAAATTAAGTTAAATTTATATTAAAAAATTATTGGAATATACTAAATAACTATTAAAGAATGTAGTGGATGTGCAAAAGTTAGTCCAAAATCTTTGTTAGAAACGTTTCCTTTAAAAAATAGGGAAAATGACTTAAAAGCCCAACGAAGTTTCAAAACCGTTCAAAAAATCTCAATCATGTTTTGTCTGTTCAAAAATCGCACCAAACTTAACATTTTGTCTAAAAAGCCCAACTAAGTTACACTTTCCTGAAAGTCAAATAAGAGAAACGAATGACGTGGCTTATTACCGTATAGGAAAACTGACTTGTTAAACCAACGAATTTTCCAAAATGTTTAAAAAACTCCAATCATGTTTTAATTGTTAAAAAAAAACCCAACGAACTTAAACAAAACAAGATTGAGATTTTCTAAACGGTTTGGAACTTTGTTTGATTTTTTAGACAAAATGTTAAGTTCGTTGGGCTTTTTTGAACAGATAAAACATGATTTAGGTTTTTTGAATAATTTGGAAACTTCATTGGTCTTTTAAATCATTTTCCCTTAAAAAATACCATTAAAGAATGTATTAATTAAAAGTTAATATTAACTAAAAAGAAAGTTACAAAAGTCTAGATGCTCTTACATTCGATTGTTGAATTCTTTTCTATGATTTATTCCCTTGCACTTTTAATTTTTTTGAGTATTTTTAATGGTAATACCGATGCTATATTTCAGGTTAATAAACTAGCCATGCATGCATGTAAGGGTGGCGTCTCAAATGAATTTGAAGCAAAGCTTGATGCTTAAGTTAACCAATGAGCAATGCTGATTTTGAAATTACGACAATGAAATATGTCTAGCATTTAATTGCCTTAAGTGTTACAATCATTTTTGTCGACCGTATCAATATTTCATAAAGAAAATGTTTGTCTATATTTGTGTATGGTATAAAATCTATCTATCTCTTATAAAGAAAATCATACAAATGAATATGGTTTAAGATAAACCATCTATCTTGAACCATATTCATTTGACACTCATAAACTCTTCAACTTATGTTACTTAAATTGAATCATATTTATTTGACACTCAAACTCTTCAGCTTATGTTACTTAAATGATAATATAACTCAAGAGTTTTTTTATCTTATGATATTTAATTGGTATTTTTGACACATTGGTTATATATATATATATATATATATATATATATATATATATATATATATATATATATATATATATATATATATATATATATATATATATATATATATGGGAAAAGTGAATATACCCTTAAGGGTATATAAGCTTAGGTACCCAAACTCACCATAATACGTCATTTTATTTGATATATTTATTATAATCTTCTTCAACTTCAATCCTTAAGTTGATTTACTTTCAAGATTTTCAAAATTTTATTATTATCTTCCTCTTACATCACATCTTTTAGACGAATATCAATTAGGTTATATATATTATAGTTGAAAATGAAAAATATGTAAGAGGAAAATAAATGTGAAATTTATAAAAATCTTTGAATGAAATCAAGTTAGAAGTTGAATTATAAGAACATTAGATAATTACAATGTATATATATGATCGAATATCAATTAGGTTATATATATTATAGTTGAAAATGAAAAATACGTAAGAGGAAAAAAAATGTGAAATTTATAAAAATCTTTGAATGAATTCAAGTTAGAAGTTGAATTATAAGAACATTAGATAATTACAATGTATATATATGATACAAAACGATGTAGTATGGTGAGTTTGGGTACCTAAGCTTATATACCCTTAAGGGTATATTCACTTTTCCCTATATATATATATATATATATATATATATATATATATATATATATATATATATATATATATATATATATATATATATATATATATATATATATATATATATATATATAAGGTTTAGAGAATGATATGAACATAAATATGATTTGAGAACATACAAAGATCTATTTGTGGTGGATGTATTTATAGCGAATGAGAAAGAGGTAGGTGTGATTTTTGAAGATGTCAATTTGTAGTTATTTGTTTATAGTTTTCGTTATCTTTATGTCGGTATTCTTAAAAGTTATTGTATATTTTTTTATATGAAAAATATATGATGAAGATGTTGAATATAAATAACTAGGAGTTTGATAATTTCTTTTATTGTGTATATATAGATTTTTAGTTCCTCTATGTATTATTTCTTGAGAAAAAAATATATTGATATTCTTAAAAGCTATTATATATTCTTTTTGCTATCCTACCTTGTAAATGATATATAATGGGATATATGGCATAGTGAGAAACTCACCTTAATTGAAGAATCGGATAAACATAACAACATTCTCACCCCTTGCACTGATCAATCCCACAAACTGACTAACACCAAAAGAGATGAATCCTCAATAAACAACCTAAAACCCCCCAAGTTTGACCCTAAGTCAAGTTGGTCAAAAATCAATGGTCAATGGTTAACCAAGTAAACAACCACCGAAACATGGAGACCTCTTAGCCACGTCGCGGACATAAAAGGACAAAATAAACAACATATGGGACATCGCCACGTCATGGACCCTCCTTGGCCACGTCGTGGGCACGTCTAGAGAAAACAAACACAATTATGTACTTCACCACGTCATGGTCATTCCTTGGCCACATCGTGGTCACTAGTAGTTTTCCTTAAATCTTCATTAAGAGCTTAATCCTTACAAATCAAGGCTAAAAACTTCAGATCTAATCCTTCTTAATGACTTATTGGATAATTTTTCCAATTTTATCTATTAGGACTTCACTCCACGGCAAAATCTCCAACCCTAAGTCCATTAAGTCCTTAATATGGCCAAAAACTTTCACATGGGACCATGAACTCTCAAACCAAGAACTTTTTCTTACTTAACATAAATCCAAGACCATAAGAATGTCATATTAAGCTTTGGAGTTTCTCAAACTCCAAGAGCATCCAAGAATGGGACCAAAACTAACCAATCATGACCAACAACGTGAATATCAAAAGAACAAGGTCAAGGTGCAAACTTTTTACCTTCAAAGATCCAAAAACTTGAAGAAGATGGTGGATCTAGTTTTGCTTTATGCTTCCTTGCACCAAGATTGAGTTCCTTTCTTCACAAGCTTCACCAAATCAAGAAGAACAACCTCAAAACCCATTAAACAAGTTGTTAATCTTACATGTAGGCTAGGGTTTCGAAATGGAGTAGTGGAGGTTGAAGGAGATGCCCGAAACCAAGAGTTAGAGCCTTTAAGTATGGGGGAAACACTAAAGATCATGGACTTGGACTGCAACAATTTCCATGTCGTGGTGATCATTAAAACATGCGACCTTCAGATGCCATCCACCACGTCGTAGCATGTGCTTTTCATCAAAAACCATGCCTTTAACTCTATTAATTCTTTACTTGATCCATTCTGGAAAATAGGTGTTACCATAATCATTGGGTTCATCACTACTAGAACCATTGTCTCTATTGTCCCTATTATCCTCCTTATTATTTTGTTGACAGTTTTAATCGTTGATCGGAATCGACCGAGTCAAACCATTTTTGTCACGATGCATAATTTTGACGGAATGGTCGAGGGCATGTCCTAGGAAAAGATTGACCCAACCTTGTAATCTTATGGAATTGTTCGTATCTTTGATTTTTTTTTTGACTTTTTCAGTTCTACTTCGTTCATCATGAAATGTGGACAACAACTCCACCAAATGTCCTAAGAGTGTTACAAGCTTTGAACCACCTAAAAACCATCCAAAAAGTGTGCAAATAAAAAGGTTCCACAAATTTGTACAAAAATATCAAAATATGCAAAATGTGTGAGGTTTAAAGGTACTAAGGGTGATGTAAATGCATGTAATAGATGTCCTATAAGATGCATACAAATGCATCTAACATTAACTTCGATTACTTGCCCACATTTTCTATATAGATAGATTAATGAACTCATTGTATTGTAAATGGTTTGAATCATTTTTCCACCTATTTGACCACCTAACTTAATAGAATACAAACAGACACATATGCTCATTACTATTGAGAATGTGTAGTTATTATAACAAAAATTCGTACGCTCATACTATAGAGTAATTTGATACCATTCATCTGCATCTTAACATGAAAATAAGTTGAAAGAGCGTATTTATGTAAATTATGTGCTTCATAGGAATTTCATTGAACACCTTTGTTTGGGAACAAGCTAGAACCCTATCCGGATTTCATCACATGGGTATGGATATGTTTTCTGGATACATCGAATCAAACAATAAGTTGTTACGAGCTGAAAACATATATATATATATATATATATATATATATATATATATATATATATATATATATATATATATATATATATATATATATATACTAGTTATGTTTTGTGGCCCGTGCTAAGCACGAACCATGTAAGGTAATTTAGGCATTTTGAAAAATTAAAGTACAATGTTATAAGTGGGTGGATTTTCCAAAATATGTCTTGATAATAAAAAATGAAAGTGGAATTTTGTAATAAGGAAAGAAAATGAAAATGCAATGTTGGAAATGCATTGTATTTGTAAAAGTACTTAACGAAAAAATAAAAATAAAGGGCTAATTTGATTTGTAGACATAGCAAAACACAAACCAAAATCATGTTCACTGGCTGTCAATACGAAATTATGTTGTCATTTTAAAGATATAAGCTTGAAAGATCAATTTGCAATAGATAATGAAGGTAAAGTTGAAGTAATTGTTTTCCTACTTCCTACGTGACCAAACAGCCACACCCAATACATCAAGCATTGTAGTGTAGGAGTTAGTTCTCATATCATATCATGATAGAGCATTGTTGACAATAACTCGTCTGAGATATTCGATGTCAATATGAAAGTGTAACATGTAAAAATTATGAAGGATGAAAAGCCAGGATTTTCCATAAAATCATGCATTTGCCTTAGTTCTTGTATAATGAATAGGAATGCTAAAAAATCTTCCCATTTAGACTTCACTTATGCATTAAAACTTCTGCCTCCATGTGTCTCATAGTTGACGCTTTTTTGTTTTTATATGCAGGTCTGTGGCCATAAATTGACGCTTTTTTGTTTTTATATGCAGGTTTGCGGTGAAGATTCATCAGAAAATTTTCAGGTTGCTATGTCTTTGGTTTTCCATGCTTGACCCTGTTTTCTTCTTGTTACTACTAATTGTTGTCCAATAAATGATATTCAAAAATTATTTTCATAAATGATCAGGAGTTTTGAGTAACTGCAATGAAATTGAGGAGCTCAAAATTTTTAACGAGGGTACATTTGAAAGACTTCTAGGTTATTGCAGTATTTATCTTTAAACAATTGATATCAATCGCATATGCCAATAAAAAAATCTAGTACGTGAACAAGATACTTAAAAACCTTTCCAAGGCAGCATGCCACTGATGATCAATAATAAGACTTCAAATATTGAAATCTAAGATCAGACTTTTTATCTAGAAATCAATAATAAGACTTACAATCTCCAAATCAAGTGCAACATATGATAAGAAAAATCATACTCTTTATAAATAAATAAATAAGTGATAATGTCAATAATTATGATAGCTCGTTATGCCTCTTTCCAATTGATTCCCTAGATCGCTTGATGAGGAATGAGCACCAATGATTTGAAAAAAAAACAAAAAAAAATTGTAGTAATAAGTAGTAACTGATGTAAAATTTGGTTGATCCAAAGTAAAATTTCACTTGTAGTAACCTAACATTAGATCAAAATATTGTATCTTGTATTAAGTAATAAGCATCTACATGTTTTCATAAGACCCATTAATATGTTTTTATGTTACTTGCACATTAATTCATTCACTCGTTTAATTTTGAGCCATAAATTTATCATATGATATTTAATAAATGATTAAACCTAAAGAATGTAGAATACTAAACCATATAGTTTTGGAAGATGCTTACAA